ACAGTCTGCTAGGATTGCAGGGTGGGCGTGAGTAAAGTCTGCCACTTTTATAGATGGAGCCCCTCCCCAGGTGCTAGTGGTGTCTGCTCTTATCAGCATTACTAACACCGGGGGGGTTTTATATAAAAAAAAAAAAAAAAAAAAAAGTCTGCCACTTTTCTCAGGGATATTGCCAGCTCTGGGCGATGTGGTGATCAGTGAGTCCTTATCCATCAGTCAAATGCATCTTGGACCGACTGTCAGGGTCCCACATCCTCACGAGTCAGTGAAGTCCCGACCAAACAGTCCGGCACAATCATGCTCTTTTGCAGAGCTGTATATAGCGAACACGACAACACACACACACACACACACACACACACACACACACACACACACACAGAAATGAAGTGACACCACATTCATCACACCAATTTGCAGCACCACCGCTTTCAATCCACCTGCTTTTCATCACACTGATCTGTGGTCAGAATTGGAAGAGGCAAATCGAGACACTGGAGCTATAAGCAAAAGAAGATCGGCACTATCCCTGCTTGCGAGCACCAAACAAAAACAATGTTCATCCACCCAAAAAACTGCAGCAAGATCAAACCAAGAATGCCGGCCAAGAACACTTCAATCAACCATCAGCTCACGGTAGACTTGCACAAAACTGCCACAGCCACTGAGCCATAACCGTGCAGAAGACGGCAGCAAGAACAGACACCACAACAACCTTTCACTGATGCAGCTTTAGATGTGAAGACAGCACGCAGCAAAGCCATCGGAGTTGAAGAAAAGTGAACGACGGAGCACTAACAATAGAGAGGGAAAGGGCGCCATAAGGAGAACAGGCAAGCATGCGGGCAGTGAGGAATACGAAATCCACGGTGTCAGCCATCAGAGAAGCAGAAGGGCAAACCAGTCATGACAAGGGTGCCAGCAACACCAACAGGGAAGAAAAGGTATGACAAGACACTCCAGGGAGAGCAGGAGGAGATGACGAGGAAGGAAAGAGAATCAGAGCAATGGAAGGACAAACCAATCACGACAACAGTGCAAAATGTCGAGACTCAACAATAAGGAACAGGAGACAAGGCAGAGATGACCCAGAGAAATCCGTTTGCCCTGCGCCCGTGCACAGAGCAGCAACATGGTCCTTCAGCAGGAGGAAAGGGTACCATCATCAGGGCAACAGACCAGGACACAATCGCCTTACCTTTACATCTTCGCGATCAATTAACCTCACAGGTTCAGTGAGTGTGAGTACAGTTTCTGAGATGAAGCCCTACACACAAAAACGCACAGGCAAACAGTTCACAGAGCCCAGAACGACATGAAATGTTCACTGCAAAGTAAATAATAAATACATTCCTACAGTCTGCCGATCGGGCTAATCATGTCACAGGTCATACGGAGTGAGAGAGCACCAACATCCAGATAATAGACGGGAATGAGTCAGGCTGCAGCACATCCAAAACACGTTGCAAAAAGATACCAGGAAAGCTAAGCTACGTCGCTACGTGGTAGCAGCGGCATTTTATGTGCTTCACAATACCTACAGATAACAATGATGCATGATTGTACACATTGACTGCACGAACACCAAATTTGACTGCACGAACACCAAATTTTAATGATGATACATGACTGTGCACATGGAATGAACAAAGACCAATTTGTAAATAATGATACATGATTGCGCACATGGATATTGCACAGAAAGGAGGGATCGTACAGAAAGGTGTGATACAGAAAGAAACCCTACAGAAAAAGAAGGGGCATATACAACAGTCAGTCCAGCATGCACACTAAGCCATTTCTGGCCAAGACGCTGCTCCTTTCATTGCCAAGGGACCATTTTGATACGTCTGGAAGGTCACCCCGAAGGTCATTGGAGGGCCCATATTTCAGATGCCCATTACACATCGAATTCACCAAGAACAGGGTCTCCATCACTCACTACTAATGACCTTCTCCTCTAACGTCGGACCCCTTTTAGCACCCAATATGGCACCTCATTAGCCGACATACCACTTTGATATGTCTGGAAGGCCAACCCAAAGGTCTTCGGAGGGCCCATATTTCAGAGACCCATAGCACAACAAACTCGCCAAGAGCAGGGTGTCCATCCCTCACTGCTAATGACCTTCTCATCTAACATCAGACCCCTTTTAGCATCGAATATGGCACCTCGTTAGCCGATGGACCACTCTGATATGTACGTCTGGAAGGCCACCCGAAAGGTCTTTGGAGGGCCCATATTTCAGAGACCCATAGCACAACCAACTCGCCAAGAGCAGGGTGTCCATCCCTCACTGCTAATGACCTTCTCCTCTAACATCGGACCCCTTTTGGCACCCAATATGGCACTTGATTACCGATTACCTCCCAAGCCTTTGCCTCTGGCAGTACTAAAGTCTTGAAGACATTCAAAACCATCCATGTCTCATCAGGTCATTCACTTCGAAGTACCATTTTCGTTTCTCACTCACTGTTGCATTCTGTGTCCATGGCTCATGACAACCCATGAGCTTTGAACCACCAACACATACAAGCCTCACTACCCTGGCACAACTGAACCCCTCCAGGGTCCAGGGCGCGCAGTGGTAGCACCATAGGCAGAGAGGGAGAAGAGTACAACAAACAAGGGGCTGTGACAGACTGGTTCAACGGAGTTTCACCGACTCATGGGAGCCATATATGCCGCATTTGTGCCCAAAACTGGGCACCAGTACCCAGGTTGTACCGGTAGGCCCACATCATTCAGTTCAGTGAGCCAGGCTCAGTAAAACACGCCGGTTTGTTAGAATAATAGTGCCACGGGAGCTTGTCGTTTAATTACCTTTTTTTTTTTAAGGCTTTTTGTTCATACCCGTATGCATTTTCCTGACTCTTTACTACAGCATGTGCAAGATTTTCCCACGATCTCATGACCGGTCCCACTTCCAGAAATACCTGCTGAATTGGCCTGAAAATGTGCTGCTTATGCGCCGAATTGTCCTGAAAGCAATCTCCTTGTGTGCCAGGCCTGAAGTGTTCTGCTTCTTCGGACCAGGTTCATGGAGGGGAATATGATCCCACTAGCACTTCGACAAAATGAGACCATTTCACAAAATGCCCCTGCGGCTACCACAGTGAGCTGGCAAGAGAGCTATGCTGTACCTCGACGCACGGCCTGCTCTCCTGACCATGAGAGCCGATGGAAAATCCATGCAATGACTGCAAGAGAGGGGCAGGGTCCTTGCAAAAAAACAGAAGAATTCGGCACGGTGACAAAAGGCTACTGCGAGCACAGGCATTAAGTCAGGTCCCGCTACCACTAAAGCAGGAACTTAACTCTAAAAAGTGGCCAGGTTCTTGCTTTCTCGGCAATGCACCTAAGAATTAACGGACCCACCCAATGCACCTAAACAAAAGAACTCGGCACGGTGACAAAAGACTACTGCGAGCACAGGCATTAAGTGTCAGGTCCCGCTACCACTAAAGCAGGAACTTAGCTCTAAAAAGTGGCCAGGTTCTTGCTTTCTTGACTATGCACCTAGGAATTAACGGACCCACCCAATCAACCTTGAAAAGATTCAAAACCCTATTCAGGAGAGAAGATTCACATAGCCCCTGCACAAGGACGGCATGCTCAAATCGAGAAATGGCCCTTAAAGATTGCAACGGCCCCCCTCTTCACCCAAATGGAAATTCAGCATTTTCAATCAGGGAAGAGAAGCCCCTCCGATCCTCTTTTTTCCGACCCGGATTTGTGCTGCACAGTGCACACACACACACACAGGAAAAAAAAAAAAAAAAAAAAAAAAAAAAAAAAAAACAAACAAACAAACAAACAAACTCTGGCACAGCACAGATCTTTCTCCTTTTGGCTGGCACTTAGTCCCGTACGCCCAAGCCCCTGCAAATTGCTGTTGTACTCAAACAATCACATCGTGGGAAGTTGGCTGCGGGAGGTACTGATAGATGAAGTTAAAGAGAGGGGGTGGGGTGGAGGGGGTGGGGGGGGGCAGGGCGGGGGGGAGGGGAATAGCATTCATCAATTGTCCAACGTTGAAATGAAGAGGGACAGCTTGCTCGAGGGAAGCTCTCACTTGCACAGCCTGGGGTGCCACTGTCTGTAGATAGCAAAGATCAACAGCCAGCACCTCGTAGTGGGGGAAAGGGTGGGAGGGACGTGCGGTGCATAGAGAAAGACATTCAATAGGCCACAGAGAGAGAGGGCCACAGGGAGTGAGATACATTGTTGAAGGCAAGGGGCACAAGATGTCATGTGTACATGGGACCCAGCAGAGAGTAGATTTAAAAACGCCTGCCGCCTGTGTCACACAGTATGTTTCTTCCTGGCCTTTAAAAGGACATCAGTAATCCATCCACAGCTCAGATCCGATCTAGCTGGCCGTTCAATCGTTCACCAATCGTCCAGTCATATGGGTAAACGATAGCAAACCCCCTGCCACCACAAAAATAAGTCGAATCCACCAAAAGAAAAAAGAAAAACAAGAAAAGAAAACAGCCCAGCGAGAGTAGGTCTCGACACACCAAAATAAAGGCAGAAAAAAAAAAACAAAAAAAAAAAACACTGCACAGCAGATTTTCCTCAAAGTGCAGGCCTGCATGAACAAGCATAAGTATATGAACCTGAAAAACCAGAGAGTAGAACATCGAGGGGAATAGATATTTGCTCTAGGGCCTCTATACTTCGCCTCCGTTGCTCAAATGCCCTTCTTCGACGAGGAATTTGATCTCCAACCAGTCCCCGCAGCCAGCCACAGGGCGGGCCGATAGGCTTGGCTGCGACCCATCATCAGGTTTAGTGATTCTCTGTGCTCAGAACAATTGACAAAAAAAAGAAAGAAAAAAATCAGCAACACGAAAAGGAGAAAAAAATATTTTTTTTTCCCTCCCTCCCTTTGCCAGAGGCCCACATCGCTTCGGCCGTGTACTCGTGGTTTAAACCACCAGCACCCCAGGGGGTCTTAGGCCCCCTCTGAGGAGGCTTCGATGCAAATGCATATGGACGTGCATGGCGCAACGATTCAGGCACCGCATTCACGGCCTAAGAATGTGGAGGTACTGGTGGTCTAACTTATGTGTGGTTAGTTCTAGTACTTGCCCACGCGGTCAAGTGGCTCCACAAAACCATCACTCATTCAAAGTCTGCTTAATGTCTAGCTGTCGACCTCCTTTCCCCAAACAGAATACCCAGTCATTATGAACGTACATGGCCGCATCCGTGGCTAGATGCTGTTACAATGGCGCATTCGTGGCTAGATGCTGTTACAATGGCGGCATTCGTGGCTAGATGCTGTCATAAAGACCAGGTGCTCTGTTGAGGAGGAGGTAGGAAGTTTCGGTCGCCGTAGACTCGGCACAAATTCAGACAAAATTAGAAATGCACCTGTTGCCCGGAAAGTTTCGGGAGGGTCTTTAGGTAGGGGCAGGCCCACATGCTAACAAAGACCACCTGTATGGCCAGGTTCACACTTTACAATGACAGGCATAGCACCAGTGGGGCCTGACCCTTAACCAAACCTCCCAGTTCTTTGTCGCACAAGTTACACCACTTGTGCAGACGTAGAGGTATTGCATAGCAAGTGAGGCAAAGCAATGCAACACTCCAATCTCTAACAGATCAGGACAGATTGCGGCGTTGGGAAATTGGCCAACCTTCCTAAGCAAGAAATCCGCACCTCTGAAAAAAAAGTGCCCGAGGTCGGGCCCCGAGAGACACCAAGCACAAGCCAGACACGAATAGCGAAGTACATGCAGACAAGAGGGTTGGAAAATTTTATTTAGTACTAAATTAGTAGTAGTTTCATTTCATGATCTTGAGCCTCTTCAGGAAAAAATTCATGAATCTCAGCCTCTCCAGGCCTCGCATTAGCCACGTTAGCATTCCTATTCCTATTGTCTATAGCTTTGAGCAAGCGGCAGGAATCGCACAATGACCAAGCATATAGACGATACCCACTTGCCACTCTAAGAGTAGAGAATCACGCCTATCGTCTATAGCTTTGAGCAAGCAGCAGGAATCGCACTGTGACCAAGCATAGAAGATATCCACTTCCCACTCTAAAAGTAGAGAATCACGCGCCTACCCTCTTCCTACGGATATAACGCAGTACATTACTATGTTAAAAAAGAGTCGGTTCACAGAACTTGGTAACCAAATTTCAAATATAATGTACCGCCAAACACAACTTATGAACATTACATTCAAATATAACATACGGATGCTGTATTTCAATAGACAGTACTTTATATTCGAATAGACCATGTGTC